CTGCTGTATCAGTAATCCTCCCAGTGAGTTATAATAACAGACTGAGCTATATTCTTGAAACAAAGACTTAGATATTTCTTCAGAAATTAGTAAAGAAACAGATGGTAGATTGGTATAATGAGGAAATTCTTCAGCTGCTTCAAAACAGCACCAGAAAACCCCTGAAAGGAGTGACATGACAGTGACATCTAACAGACCCTTGGTCGCCAGCATCGTAAATCCTGCAAAAACACTATACTTTGTATTTTTTTTTACCTTTGCATCTAATACAATTGCATCTCGTTCACCACTCCTGGCTGGTGGAACGATCTTCCCACCCCTATACTTATTTGAACAATGTCTAAGAACTTGGTATTACAACCACTTCCTGTGTCTGTTTGCCTCTTAAGAAGAATCGCTTTATGTATCCCCCAATTGTAAGTCGCTTTGGATAAAAGCGTCTGCTAAATGACTAAATGTAAATGTAAATGTAATACAGCGACTGTGGGAGTTATGGTAAATTTGACATTGTTCTCTTTTCTGACTGCAGTTTCTTTCGTTGTGATTTCTTTCCTCTTTTTAAAAGTTGTGAAAACACAAATGAGTTTTTCTTTTGCTATTTGAGCAAATGATAACACAAGAAATATATATTAGATGTAGTCTCCCGTTTACTGCTATAGAAGCTTACCCAACTATGACAACATTCTCTTCTGAAAACCCAGAAATGTGAAAAGGATCCATCACTGAGGAGGGTAAGACTATATTTCTAATACTTTTAATACTTAGGGTTAGGATTTTCCCCTCAAATTCATAATTGTAACAGTGTCATAGGACCACAAGATGGCAGGATTATACTTTCTCTGAGTAAAACAGTCAGTTTGCTTTATCTGTGAACTCAGAGCATACTGTAATTATCACTTTACATACAATACTATATAAATAAATGCTTTTATTCAGCAAGGATGCATTGAATTAAATCAAAGTAAATAAATGCTGTTATTTCAAACTTTCTAGCCCTCAAAAAAAAAAAAAAAAAAAATTAGTCATGGTTTCCACAAAAATGTGAAGGGGTATAACTGTTTTCATCATTATAATAACAATCAAAAATGTTTATTGAGCAGCAAATCAGCATATTAGAATGATTTCTGAAGATCATGTGACACTGAAGACTGGAGTAATGATGCTGAAAATACAGCTGCGCATCACAGAAATCAATTACAATATTTTCAAATAGTTACATTAAATTGGAATAATGTTTTACAATATTACTCTTTTTACTGATGAAATAAATGCAGCCTTGATGGGCATTCAACGGTCATTTAACAACTTAACTATTGTATTTCCAAATGACCTCACGAGCCCTTAAGCAAGACCCTCAGGGTGAAAACAAACAATGGAGACGATGAAAAAGCGCAGGAGATCTCAAGAGGACGTGATTTGCTGATAGCATTAATATGTTTGAAGACAGAATCGCTCACAGAGTGCACAAGGCTATCTAATTGGAAATTAAAGTAACCCGAGACACTCGTCTCCGACGCGTCGAGGTTTAAAGAAACACACATAAAACAGATGAACAATTCTCGCTCTTGGCCAGAAAGCACTTTCTTTTATGAGGCGCGCGATTAGGGATTCTGTTCACCTGCGGCTGCTCCTGCAGACTCTCACAATCGAAGGAGAAAAACGACCGCTGAGATTCCCACCGCTGCCGTTAGCGGCAGAACTGCAAGCTCAGCCCTCGAGCAGCGAGAGCAAATCAGATATGTGGGCATTATCACCGTGGGAGAATCCGTCCCTAATCAAATAACCAGTGATGCTGCTACACGCCGGCCTCTTGTTTTGTTTGCAGTGCTTAGAATGCAAACAGATTTCAAGTGAAGTAATCCGAGGGTCTGCGTCTGGCACAAGAGACGGATCTGGCACTGTGCGCCGTCAGGAAAGGCCCGGCTGCCTTGGAAACAGAGAAGAAGGCGACCCAAAGGAGGAAAGCACTCAAGAAGGGGGCGGGAGGCAGAGGGAAAAAAGGTGGAGTGTTGTATAAAGAGAGAGAGAGAGAGGGAATAGAGAGCTAGAGGCAGAGTGAAAACACATTGGAGCCTAGAGTGAGAGTAACTGAATGAGGCAGAGCGAGTCCGGCCTCGACTCTGAGGCGTTCTTCACACTCCGGCACTCACCTCACTCATTCACAAAACAAACGCAGGAAGGCGGAGAGGAAGCCGAGAGAAATATCTGCTCCGTGTAACAGGAGGCAGTGCAGCAGCGGAGCGCCCCGAGGAGACGTCAGGAGGAGGTTAACCGCAAACACCGACCCCGAGCGAGAGCAGCGCGGCGCACATCCTCCACAGCGCCACAGATGCCACAGACTCCCTCATCCTTGAGTGGAAAGCAGAGGGCTCCTGCCGAAGGGGGTCCCGACAGATGCGGCGGTCCCTGCGCGGGGCCCTCAGGTGTCTGGGGGTGAAGGTGTGCCGGAGGAGCGCTCTGCTCGTCGTCCTGCTGTGGTTGGCCTCCTGGCTCTTCCTCAACGGCCTGGTGTTTGTGCACAGGAACATGTTCTCTGACTTCTGCACTGAAGACAAGAGCAAAGAGATCCTGCAGAGGGTGGTAAGGCTAACTTTTGTCATCGCTCAAATCAGTATTTTAGCAAAAAGTCTGTACTTTATGGATATGACCAAAAAGTCTGGATATCAACTTGTCAGGCTTGCCTAATTTGAAAAAAGAGCAAATTTAAAAAATATATGTGACCCTGGAGCACAAAAGCAGTCTTAAGTCGCTGGGGTATATTTGTAGCAATAGCCAACAATACATTGTATGGGTCAAAATTATCGATTTTTCTTTTATGCCAAAAATCATTAGGATATTAAGTAAAGATCATGTTCCATGAAGATATTTTGTAAATTTCCTACCGTAAATATATCAAAACTTAATTTTTGAGTAGTAATATGCATTGCTAAGAACTTCATTTGGACAACTTTAAAGATGATTTTCTCATAACAAACCATACATCAATGGGAAGCTTATTTATTCAGCTTTCAGATGCATAAATCTCAATTTCAAAAAATTGACGCTTATGACTCGTTTTTGTGCTCCAGGGTCACATACAGCTGCCTTTTAAATTTCAGGATGCTTAGCTGCATTCATAATGCACATGAAATGAACCCTCACTTGAATGTCGTCTTGTGTTGCTGTAGCTCTGCCATGATCGGGGATATCTGGCG